TGGCCGGCGTCTTCAGAGGACTGGAGTAGGAACTCTGTCCATGCTCTGTTGCTGTTTGTTGGATAGTTGAGTATTTATAGCTGTGGGAAGAGCTTTTGTCCTTTTCAGGAGTGTTTTTTTTGTTGTAATAAGGGGGAGAGAGATTATCTGTCACTGTGATTGATGGGTGTCATTAGCTGGTCTTTTTTGTGCAATGATCCTGGGTCCTTGTGGCTGGGTAGAGTCCGTTGACCTTTTGCAGTCTGTATTTTTGAGAGCTGGGAACCAAGTTTTGTTGAGTTTCAAACTTTCCTCTTTTTTGTTGAAGTTCTGCTGGTGCTTGTGGATTTCAATGGCTTCCCTGTGCAGTCTGACGTAATGACTGCTGGTGTTGTCCAGTATTTCAGTATTTTGAAATAGAATTTCATGCCCAGCTTGTTTTAGGGCATGTTCAGCTACTGCCGATTTTTCCGGTTGTTGTCTTTCATATTCTTTGATTCTGGTGTGAATGCTGTGTTTTGTGGTTCCAATATATACCTGTCCACAACTGCAAGGTATCCGGTATACTCCTGCAGTGGTGAGGGGATCCCTTTTGTCCTTTGCTGACCGTAAAATTTGTTGTATTTTTGTGGTGGGTCTGAATACTGTTTATAGGTTGTGTTTTTTCAAAATTTTCCACAGGCGGTCCGTGACCCCTTTGATGTATGGCAGAAATACTTTATTTGTGGGTCGCTGTTCTCCTATTCCTCACTTGCTAACTAAGATCATGTTAAATATAAGGAAATTGATCTGTATGGAAGGGCAGGAAAGTCAGAGAGTCTATTAATAGAAATATTGGAAGTACTGAAATGTTGAGCCAATTTCCTCCCCTCCTTTAACCACCCTGGAATGGCAACAAAATGTATAATACTAATTGTTAATTCTTAGAGGTGGTGAATTCTGCAATGGAATGTCAGTACAGTATCAGACCTTTGGAAATGGGTGTAAAATAATGGTGGAAACATGTAGTTTCTAAAGATGTAACATAGTTAAATGAATGTTCCAATGTGTTAAGAGTGCTGTGTCATCCCGTTCTTTGTATAACTCTTTAACCATAAGGTGATAGGGTTTTTTTTAAAAAGGTATTATTTAGCCCGAGTCTCAAAATGGGTGTTTCTGTTTGCTCCACAGACCATCCACCAAGCCTGCAAAACCACCCCAGGCTCCGAACGCCTCCACCTCCTCTTTCACACGCTCACACGCCAAACCAGCATCACGCAGCCTCCATCAATTCCCTAAATCGAGGGAACTTCACCCCACGCAGCAATCCCAGCCCTGCTCCCACAGACCACTCGCTTTCGGGAGAGCAGCCGGCCGGGACGCAGGAGTCTACGCATGCTCAGGACAACTGGTTACTTAACAGTAACATCCCCCTCGAGACCAGGTAATGCCTGTTTTTGCTTAAGTTGTTTCATATGCGCATGTACTGAGGCCTCAGGCAGGAAGAGAAAAACATGGAAATATGTCTAGGGTGCCTGATAATATCACAGAAAACATATGAGGTCATTGCAATCATCAAAAGGCAGAATTCTACGCTCTGCACAGCTCTTTCCTTTCTGCCCACTATGCTCTCTTCCTCTGCCCTGCCCCTCTTTGAACCTTTGAATGCTTGAAGGTTGACGCTCTTCACTCTGTGTGGGAAGATGCTCCCTGCTGTAAGGATTACGGCCAAGGAATGAGAGGTCCGCAAAAACTGATAAATATTTGCAACTGTTTTCCATTGATGTGGTCTATTCTGAGCATAATATTTGGGTTTCGTCATAGTGCAGAATTTCACTTCTGACCACCAGGAAGCATGCTCCATCCGGGTGCACCTCCGTGCACACTTTCGTAGTGTGGGTGCATTGCGTGTCAAGTCTTAAAGGTCTACAGTCTTTTCAGCTAACACCCTCAGTGTTGTAGGCTTCAAGCTGGCGTTACCACCATGTCCATGGCCGACTCCTCTATTTATTCCCATTACACTTGAACGTTGTTACAGTTCTCTGGCAGTGATGGCCTTGGAGGGAGAGTCACCTCCAGAAAGGTCCTGGATATACCCATCCCCTTTACATTCCTATACTGTAGTATAGAGTGGCTTTAGGCTAGATGGGCAGTACACAAATAAACCAAATCTGTTTGTTTGTTTGAGCAAAGTCATTTAGAGTAATGTTTTGTGGCCACTACAGATGCGCTCAGTGGGGCCCTCCACCCCTTCATAGCGAAGTCTCCAGTGGCTGCGAGATAACAGTGGTTCAAGGGGCGAAGGCTGTCTGCAGTCTGTAGCATTCCTGCGTGGTGGGCTTGCTCCATTTGTCCCTGTTAGCCGTGCCTGGCCACTTGTGTAGAACAGAGCAGGCAACATTAGTCTGCATTTTCCTTCCTTTTCACTGGGTCCCACCAACTCTCCCCTGTGCCCCACAACATCTCCAGATTTTGTTTAAATAGAAAATTGTGCCCTCAAAACAGTCATTAGTACTTCTGAACTATATTCAAGGGCAGTCCTACATATATTTCGTCATGACAGTCTCAAACTGGAGCTTATAAGTATACAGTAGTTCTTATCAAGAACTTTGGCTGAGGTTTTCCTTAGTCCTGCTACCCAAGGTATTTTAAATAGAGACACTGGGGTTGAACCTCCAACCTTCTAGCTGTGAAACATCAATTCTAGGACTCAGCTGTCATCTTATCCTGCTACTGTGGGTATATTTCATTTAGCCCAATATCAGGTGTTCAGTTGCAAACAGCAAAGTAGGGTCCGAGGCCAGTGTCTTTGCCATCAGCTACGACCTGGGCTTCTAGGAATTGAAACTAAGCCTCAGATATGTCCATAGCTCTTAGGTTAGGACTCCTTCTTGCTTTGAAGAGTGACATAGCTTGGTTTAGTTTTCTTTCCTTTTTATGTAATAGTTCTATTGCTTATTCCTGGTGCGTTTTTTGGGGGTTTTTTGTTTTTGTTTTTGTTTTTTTGCTTGGATGAAGAAAAGAGGAAATTACCTTGCAGTCATCTTCTTGCAGTTCAAAAATATCATTGGCATTAACGTAGCTTGTAAGGCTATTTTCCCCATTTAAAATGGGAATGGGGAACATAAATTCAAAATGGGCTTACGTGTCCGTGCGCTCTGTTTGATGGTTTCTCCCCCAAAGCAGAGTAAATCAATATTCTATTTAAGAAGCTGAAATCAGTCAATATATTGGAAAGATTTAGCCTCTCAGCTGTGTCAGTTGTGGCAAGTATAACTGTAGTCTTCCATTCTGCAGATGCCTGATCTTGTTAAGACATAATGGGAGAGATGTCGTCGGCTGCATTTTGCTTTTCCTAAAATATTGCTCCAGCAAATCTGGAACCCTGTAAAGTACACATCCGTCAATTAGTATCACTTTCCATTACTCTTTGCTGCACACACTCATGCGCGCGTGCACACACACACACATTCCCTTGCTCTCTCTTCCTTCTTCTGTGTTTGGATAATTGCATGCTGCAATTTCTGCTCCTAAGGCACTCTCATCATTTTTACATGCTGCAATTTCTGCTCCTAAGGCACTCATCATTTTTAAAGTCAAGCAGAATGTCTTTGGAAATCAGTGCAAATTGACTCAAAGTCTGTGGGGATATTATGAAACTATTACTGGTTTTGGGCTACATATCCCAGAATCCCCCAATAGCACAGACAGTTATGGAGGTTGTAGTACAATAATGCAACTTTTCAAATAACTGCCCCTCAAGCAATGGCCGCTATCCTGTATTCACAAGATGTGCAAAGACTATTCCTTGTATTTATTTAAGCCTTTAGTCTTCAGACTGTGTTCTTCTTTGAGCTGTGGTATAAGCCCATAGTAATATTTCAAACTTGCTTCAGCACCTGATCTTCCTGTGGACCAGGAGAAGTATACACTTCAGAGATGGATTCTTGTGGATTCTGGATGGATTCTTATGGATTCTGGAAATCATGGTCTGAAAAAATGAGAAGGTTGGAGATGTAATCTTAAAAGTGATCCATAGTCTCCTCCACTTGTTTCCTATAGCAAAGGAGTAAGTTTAAATTAGGCTGACAACTCACTTGCCCATATGAAATGTCCCATCTCGATAATTTTCTGGATGTCTCGTACAGAGAGTGTCACCTGAATCCAAGAACTGACCACCAGTCCAAACTTGAGTACTTTAACACTCCAAGCAGAAATTCAAGTCTTTTTTGTTGTGCACTTCCCCAGCTATCTTTCCAGCTGCATGACCAGACAAGTCTGTAAAGTTCATGTTTCTGGTTACAGAAAAGAAAATTCCTGCTAAACATTCAGAAGAACTTCCTGGCAATATGAGATGTTTAACAGTGGTAAAGACCATCTGGGAAGATGGTGAACTTTCCATAGTTGAAGAGTTTTAAAACTAATTTGTGATTGCCATCTGTTTAGGGATGCCGAGCTGTGGATTTCTACATTTGTAGAAAGCTGGACTTAGGGTTCCTTTCCAATTCTACAATTCTATCATTCGATGTATTCTCAAAGGCTTTCATGGCCGGGATCCGATGGTTGTTGTAGGTTTTTCGGGCTGTTTGGCCGTGTTCTGAAGGTTTTTCTTCCTAACGTTTCATCAGCCTCTGTGGCTGGCATCATCAGAAGACAGGAGTTAGAACTAGAACACAGAGTTCTAGCTCCTGTCCTCTGAAGATGCTAGCCATAGAAATTGGTGAAATGTTAGGAAGAAAAACCTTCGGAACGTGGCCAAATAGCCTGAAAAACCTACGACAACCAGTTCTATCATTCCATTATTTTCTGCATGCCTCTGAGAATTTAAGAGCCAAGATTTGTCATCTCTAAGCAGTCCTGAGCATCAGTGCAGCCACCCAACACTTTTGAGTCTCATGTATAATCCTGACCATGAAGATGGGACAGATAATATGTGGCTCACTGGTTTAGGCTTCAGGTGCAGGACCATGGATAGCTCCAAATAGACAGTCTTGATTACAGTTTATGCATAAGCATCCTTGATGGTGCATTTCTTCACCCTGGACACACCCCGTTTGGTCTGATTTCTGAAGCAAAGCAATATCAGGCCAAAATAGGAAACCACTCAGGAAAAGATCCTGACTGAAGTACTAGAGAGCTGTAACAAGTTAGAGTTGACAGTACTGGACAAAATAGACCAAGGGGTTCACTCAATATAAGGTAAAACATAAAATTTCTGTTCTTCTTTTGTCATATCAGCAGTGGAATCATCAATGTGTAGTTTAGAACCTTTAAATGGTTCTATCTGTTCTTCCATCCTCACTGCTATTGACTATTGAGAAATGACTACTGAAATTTTTTTATGCATGATCTTGCATCTTGTTAAAAGAGTTAAGTGCAATCATGTTTCTCAGTGGCTCAATTAAGTTCATTGTGACTGGTTGACTCCCAGATGGCTGTATATGAGTTGCAGCCTTAGCCACCTGTCGTACCAAAGTCTTCCCAAGGTAGCCCTCAATATCAGCCCACAAATAATGTGAATGCAAAAAATCCACTGAACTCATAAATTCATTAACATAGAGACAAATCTGTGATAGCAGAATGAAAAATTTGCCTTGATACTCCATAGCTGATTAAAAGCAGTGGGTATAGCAGTAGGTGGCAGAATACCCAGAAATGTCTGGTTTTACCCACTTTTACAAAAGTAGATAGGAGTTGCCTGGATAAGCACTTCTGGTTTCAATTGTTTTCTTTTAGGGAGGCATATACCTTCTGTATATTCCTGAAAATACAGCATTCAAGTCAGCACAGATGCATTACGTTTTGTCGCGAAAATACAATGCATATTCACCACCACAACAACCCTTATACAATCCTAGAGCAGACCTCTTGCCTCTTAAAATCATTTAACTTAAAGGCATGATAGTATCCAAGAAATATGAGTTCTTCGTGACCATCACTGTCACAGAGTGGACTTCAGTCTTCTGGTCAGTTATGTTAGTTATGAGATTTCTACCGTTGAATGTCATCCGTGTGGTTTTATTGTCTTACCCTTCTCAGAATTCCAAGGATCTGACACAGCTCTGCTGTTCTGCATGGGATATTTGTAAACAGTTACATCCGTGGCCCGAATCATCTCCTTGCTCCAGGTGCATCTGGCAAAAACTTCATGAAATTCCTCCAGAAATGTCAGAAAACCATCTTGGTTTCGTTCATCCTTTGGGAGTAGGCCGTGCATACTGGTCCCACACCCTCCTAGGAATTGACAGGCAGCCTGAAGGTCCAACTTGATTAGCTAGTGATCTGCCCAGGACATCAGAGCTATTTTCAAAGCTTAAAATCAGCGTCAAGGATAACATAGGCCATAACATGGATCTTTCAAGTGCAATATCATTTGAGCAGCCACAGAATGGGCAGCTACAACGACTCTGTCTTTTTCTTTTAGAAGAATGCATCCTGAAACACATGCATACAAGAAAGACTTCTTAACATGTGCTTTTTCAGTACTGCAACTACTGTTCTTAGTTACGTTTTGAAGCTTTTTTTCTCCCTCTCTTTCCATGTTTGCATTTTCTAGGGTTGCCTCTTCCTCCCACGCGCCCCTCCTCCCTGTCACCTCCTTGTTTTTACTCTTTTATTGACACTTGCATTAAACATCATATAACCCAGCATCCTATCTCATTTTATATTGCTAGTTTCCAACTAAACTATACCGATGTATTGTAAAAACCAATTTTACATGGATTTTTAACTACTGATAAATTCCCATTTATATCCCTGCTGCTACCCCACCTGGCAGCTTATCCATCAAAAGCTCTCCTTTATTGCTTTTATCTTGACATACAACTTCTCTTCCATTCCCGCAGAATGCAGAAAAATGAGATATATGCCATGGTGGCGTGGTTTTTTTTAAACCATTTTTGAAGCCTGTATTTTGGCTCATGCAGGTTGATCTGCATAACTGCAAAGCTCAAAATGTGAATTATTTTTCTCTTCTCGGGATAAAGGAGTATTGCTTAGGCTGTTGAATATTCCCCTGGCCAGCAACAGCTTGAAGAAGTACAGGAGACTAAGCCAAGTTATTAATTTGCCATCTTTGTAAGGATAGATGAATCTCCTTCTTCTGTGCTGCCTAAAAATGCAGAGGGCATTTCTATAAGAACATTGCATTTTCTGGTATTCTAACTAGACTTAGACGAAAGCTTTGTTCGGTACCAACTGCTACTTGAACAGCCATGTTGGCTGGAGGATTCTGGGACCTGTGGTGGAACAAAATAACTTCGTAACCTCTCCTGTTGCTGAAAATCATCGTTTTATGTCACAGCCCATGAACATAAATAATAAAAGTGCCCATATCATGATGCTTCCACCCTCTAGTCTCTGCCTGAGAATTCAGATTATATTTCAGGTTCAAATTCAGCTTTAATGCTTGATTGTTTCACAAAGGCAATGCTGTGTTTGTTTTTGCTAATAAGCACTAGTAAAACAAGTAAATTTCTCATTCCTAAAGGTTAGGGGGTTGAGTGTCGTTTTGTGTGTCAAAATTCCAGGTGTTGGCCATTGAGAATTCCATTATGCTTGAGCTTGATGAAACCAACCAGCATGGAAGCTACTTTTTGGTTTTGTTGGGTATAATTAGTCAGATTCCACCAGGTAGGAAGTGCAGAGCTACTACAGAGACTAACTAGCAACTCTCTGAGACTAGAAGAGTTCTCAAAGGAAATTTGAAAGCCACCATTGTGGGTACTATTCCCACTTGAACTGCACCATCTGCACAGATACGGTTTCATGGGTGGAAAAAGAGTGGATCAAGAGTTCCTGTCCTTGCTAAGGATTGCAATTGTTGACTTGCTTCCAGCTGGATCTAATTTCTGATTCAGTGTTTCGATTTATATGCAAACTACGAGGCTGAGATGAGTTCAGTGATGATTATCTTAGGGATCTGCATAGGATTTAATTTTATTGCTACCTTCTTGTTCTGGATAAAATGAATTTGTACCATTGCGTACCAATGATGTTTATTTAGGGTGAAATGCATGATATGTAACCCTAACTCTTAAATGTTGCTCACATTATGTTCCCCAGCAATACAGGTAAGGATATTGTGAGATTGTCTTGGTTGTTAACAATTACTCCAGAAACTGCAGTGTGAAATGTGACCAAAAGAAGAAACAGAATACACTCCAACTGATTGAATTTTTATCCAAAGATCTCTGAAGAGGTGGTTTCTAAGACGATTATTGACTAGCATATTCTGTCTTCCTGCTTGAGCACCCACTGAGACAGACTCATTACTGGGGATGCTTGCTGTGTGAAATTAAGATGTCCAGTAGATCAGAAAGATTCAGTCATGATGGCTTTGGACAGCCAAGTTAGCAGAAAAGCCATGTGGATGCATGAAGCAAATAACTTGCTTTTCCTGTATAAATGTGTGCCGACAATCAAGCATGCCTTCACAGGTGCAGATAAATATTGGAGTGGATGTTCAAAATCTGACAAATGTCAGCATTTACCTGTGACAGCCAGTAGTTCCAGACTAATTTGGTGAACGCCTGAAGACAAAGAAATAACATCTTTGACCGTTTACAGTCATCTAAAGTATAATCGTCAGTATTCACTTTGATTTGCCTGACAAATGGGAAAGGGTCATGGTTCCACAAGATCCACGTAGGGTTGTCAGGACTGAAATATGAATGTTAACATACACAAAATGTTAGATATTTGCTATGATGCTTGTATGTATATATTGTTACGTGTATGCATTGGTAGAGTAGATCTATGTATATTTGGAAGTGAATGTTCCCAAAAAGCTGTATTATGTGTGTGTTGATACATGCTACACGTATGAGTCAGTGGTCCATCATTCTAATTCCATGCACAGCTGCACTTAGAACCACTGTGGGTTGTGATGAGGTCACGCTTCATAGGTGCATGTCTCACTTGGCTTCATTCATGTTTCCATATGTATGTAGAAACATAGCAAAGCAGACATTGCTAGAGACATTGCAGGACAACCTCATTGAGATGGACATTCTCACCTCCTCCCGACATGACGGTGCTTACAATGATGGGTACGTTGACACTTAACGTGGTCTCTCCTCTTCTAATTGTGCCTTCTGTGATCCTTGCATGACCAATAATCATATTCTTTTTTTCCCCCTCCCTGCTCTGCTTTCTGCCTTGCATAACCTAATCTGACCCGATTTTTCTCTCTCTCATCACCCCACGCCTACTCTCACACCTTTAAATTTTTTTAATAAAAACAATGAGGTCCTTGAGTATATGGAACACAAATTGTCCTGTACATATTAATGGCAGCCTCGTTAATATGCTGATTCATAGCATCTCATTGGCTCCCTCTCCTGACACCGTGAAAATCATTTCACTAACACAAAGGCAGCTGTGGCAGTTTAACAAACGTTCAAGACATGGTGCTGGGTTTACTTTGACTTAAATGTCCTAATCTGATGTTTTCCACGTTTTTTGTCTGGATTGCGGGGGCGGGGGGGGAGTCTTTATACTCTTTTGACAATCTTGATCATTCTCTTCAACAGCACTTCTGTTTATTTTTATCAAGGGAGAAGGCCCAGTATTTTGACCTGAGCAGAGAAGAATTGAGTATATTTCAGGGGTTATAGGGTTGCAATATATTATACCTTTGAGGAAGAGACATCCTTGTAAAAGTAATCATAATAGCAACACAGATGAGTACAACATGAGACTAGTTTTTACAACATAATAGGTTATTACTTGTCTTATTCTATCGCTATGGTCTTGAATACGTACGCTTCAGCAATCTTGCTGGAAGTGAGCAGGTTTCCAGCTGGTGAGCAGCTGGATAGATGTCTGCTGGCCCATTCTGTGGATTCTCTTCCATTCCATAGTAGAAACCCAGAGCATAAATAAAATAGGTAAAGGTAAAGGTTAAAGGTTCCCCTTGACAATTTATGTCCAGTCATGTTCGATTCTAGGGGGCGCTGCTCATCCCCGTTTCCAAGCCATAGAGCCACAGTGTTGTCCGAAGACAGTCTTCCGTGGTCACATGGCCAGTGCGACTTAGACACGGAACGCTGTTACCTTCCCACCAAGGTGGTACCTATTTGTCTACTTGCATTTGCATGCTTTTGAACTGCTAGGTTGGCAAGGAGCTGGGGCAAGTGATGGGTGCTCGCTCCGTCACGTGAATTCGATCTTACGACTGCTTGGTCTTCTGACCCTGCAGCACAGGCTTCTGCGGTTTAGCCCACAGCGCCACCACGTCCCATCTAATAAAATAATAAAATAGACAACAATTATTACCAAATGAGTTAGCTGGATAACTCAGTGAGTTAGATACCTGACCATGGAGCCAGAAGTTGCAAGTTTGATTCCCTGCTGTGCCTCTTGGGAGAAAAACCAGGGGATGAGTAAGTGGGATAAGCATTCATTCTTACACACAGTTTCTCCATGCAAATGCGCTCTACTCCACTTCAGCATGTCAAACAAACAACCAGATAAGGAATTCCTTTTAAGAGCCCCTGCATGCAGATTCTGGCATTGTTGATGCTGCTCATTCTCTTGTTGGTAGGATAACTCTAATGTTTTCTACATGTCCATTTTGTTGATGGTGTCGTTCTCTTTATGGGATGTATGTCTGTAGAAAGTATATACACATCAACCAAAGGGACTCCAAAACTCCCCTAACAAAAGAATACAAACACAAAGCAATTTCCCCCTCTCTACTCTGTACAGGATGACAACACAGGGGACAGGAGATATGCATATAATCTATATATTCTTAGTGCTTGGTGTGTCTCACTATAGATTTCTTCCAGACCCATCATTGATGTTGCGAGGTATAGGCCGCACCCCTACACACACATTACCTGGAGTAAAGCTCCATTCGACTTCTGAATATACTTGTATGGGTTTGCATAGTTACACGCTGCTTCTAATAGATGTATTTCATTTTCTTTCTTTCTTTTTCTCATGCTTTGTTTTTCTTTTTTTTAAAAAAAACAAACAAATTCTTTCTCTTCAGTGCATGGTACTCTGTGTGTTCCTTTCTTTTCTCTTCTTCATTTGGCAAGGTGTTTATGCCTCTAATATTGGCTGTCAGAGAGTCTGTGGCCTGAAACCTCTCTTTCTTTCCGCAGGCACTTCCTATTCAAACCAGGAGGCACCTCTCCCCTCTTTTGTACAACGTCGCCCGGATATCCTTTGACGTCCAGCACTGTGTACTCGCCTCCCCCTAGGCCCCTTCCCAGAAGTACATTTTCTAGACCAGCCTTTAACCTGAAGAAGCCCTATAAATACTGTACCTGGAAATGTGCTGCCTTGAGTGCCATTATCATCTCAGTCACGCTGGTGATAATGCTGGCATATTTTATTGGTAAGCTTCCTTTCCTTTCAGCTGTTGTTTTATTCTTGATGTGTGCGTTTTTTTTTAACCACCTGTGAAAATGCTGGGGGCTTGGGAATGGCTCGTGGATAAAAAGGGGGAGGGGCTCTCTTGCCCCAAAATTTGGGGAAGGTGTTCCGCATCCAGATCCTGAGCCATCTAGGTGGGGGGTGGGCACTAGCGCGGTGACAGAGACGCCGCTGGAAAGGGATCAAAAGAAATTTGGCCCCCTCTGTAGAATGGGCCAAAGTGAAGCTTTGTATGTTGTATTGCCCCGCATTGTGAGTTTGCTGTTTTGTGCTGAAAGAGCCTTTGGGAATTTGTTAGGCGGATCCCCTGCCCTGTTCTCGCAAAGTCCAAAATCCAAGCAAAAAATCTGATATGGAAGAGTCTGAAATGGCAACCTTCCTTTTGGGAGATTTTCCAGTTGACGTCTATAACAACAGAGTGCCTCAACAGTATTGGTATTTTTGTCCTCTGGTGCAAACCCATAAATTATGGTTTGTAAACCAAGAATCCAACTTGTGAACGCAGATTCCTTTTATGTCTTTGAATTTTCCGTCAAAGCCTCCCTTCCCTTCCCCCCCCCCTTCGTTTGCTCATCTGTGGCTACAGAATGCTAGCCCATTGATGTGTAATGGTGATTCCTATTATAACCTTCATTGATTAGGAAACAGGTTTAAATCTGCACTGTTCCTCTAGCGATACTACTTTTGGATCAGAATCTCCTGCCCCTTATATCTGGTTTAAATCCCCTAATGAGTTATATACTATTAGAAAATACATTAGTTGGTCTTGGAGAGGAAGCTGACACAGCTCTGGATACCTTTTACAAATATTGGTCTTGGAGAGGAAGCTGACACAGCTTTGGATACCTTTTACAAATATTGTACGTCCACCTCCAGTGAATCCTGTGATTTCTGAATTTCAGTAGCTAAGTGTTCAAAGGCAAAGTGGGGCTTTGAAGAGTTCTAGCATGTTCTGTTTAGAAGGCAGGAATGGCATTAAGGGTTGCAAAGCTGTATTTCCTCAGCCTTACGAGAATGTCAACGCACTGTCCCCTGCTCCTGAATCAGGCCAAGCTACTGACAATCCGAATATGCTACTATTGCTTTTCAGCCTCGTGGCTCTTCAAAAACCCAGCCCAGGAGGGGGCTCTTGGGGTGGGGTGGGCTTGAGGGGTTATAAATGAACTAAAGAAAAGAAATAAGTTGTCTTTTTAGACATAAGACGCACCTTTCCATAAGACGCACCAATTTTTAGGAGAAGAAAACGGGAAAATATAATCTGTTTTCTTCGCTCCATAAGACACACAGACTTTCCACCCCCCTGTTTTGTGGGGGGGAAGTGCGTCTTATGGTGCGAAAAATACGGTAAGTTGTCTTTTTAGATGGATGAGGCAATTTAGGGTGCTTTAATTATTCATCCTGGATTCTACCCATGGGTCCTCATGCTGTGCATGAAGTTTGGGTCTGGGAGTCAGGGGGCATAAAGGCAACATCTTATGGTCTGTTGAGCCCAGGAGCTCATACTGTTTCCCTGCTCTCCAGCCGATCGGGAGCGGACTTTGCTTGTGATAGCTTGTGCGGAAGGCAGTTTCCACTCTGGTCCACCTGCGGTATATATGCATTCTTGCATGCAAACTGCCTCAGTCAGTTTCAGTATGATTCCAAGCGCAAACGAAGACACCATGTCTCATGCAGCGCCATCGAGTTGGGTCTTCAGATTTTGTCTCCACTTCCTGCAGGCCATCCATCTATAAAATGTTAGCATTAGAACGTGGCCACAGGTTGCGCCTAGTCGTTGAAATAAGAAACTCCTGCCTTCGTTTGGTTTGCTTGAAATGTGTTACTAACATAGGCCGTCTCTACTGCCATTGTTCATCTGTGCAGATAGAGTTTTTGATGGCTAATTCTCTCTCCCCTTGTCTCACCCCACCTCCCGGCTGTGGATTAAATTCATGCTTTTTAATGTGTCCTGCAATTGAATCAGAAGTGATTCATCAGCCAGAATTAAATTGGTAGCAGCTTGATGGAATGTGCAGTCGCTTTTCATTGTTTATCAAATGTGTTCATCACGGACCCCTATTTATCTTTGCGCTGCTCCTGTGCATCCAGTAGGTATTGGGAGATTACCATTGCATATTAGAAGAGCTTATTCCGAGCTCATGTAGAGCTGTGGTGTATGTCAAAAACAGACAGGCTGTGTGCGTGTTTTTCTACCTTGCAAAATAGGATTTCTCTTACAGCATTTGTCAACCTTGTGTGATTCATCTTTTTTTCTGACTAGTTGGATCCTAATTCTCTCAGTTGCTTGGAAAAACCTGGAGGTGCACACACACTGTTCAAGAGAGCGATAAAACCTTGCAAAAGAGGTGAATCACAAGGTTGAGATGGGATGGGGTGGCTTCACAGTGCTTATTTCCTTTCCGCTCTTTGGCATTATTAAGTTGCTACCAGCATGTATGTATGGAATGGGCAGAATGATAGTGCACACCATGGGGATTCTCTTGTGGGAAGCACGGGGGTGGTTGGAAACTGGCTGCACCATTGCTGTTTTGAGCATCACAACCAGGTATGCATTACATCAAATCCTCAAACTCCTAATTTACCAGTGGAGGTTTCAGCAGAGCTTGAAAAAGTTCCTTTATTGACTGCAAGTTCCAGAATTTATTAGTTGTCCATGCTGTTTGGATGAATCTGAGATGGGTGGT